AGATTGTTTATTAATGGTGATGAGTTTTGCTTGAAACTGGAAAAGTAGTTTAAACAATGATTCTAGTTCGTTGAATTCAAATTGCTAAGCGAATTACAAGGAAGAATTTCGAACTAGGTGTGGAATTTGATTTGATATCCAGTTTTAATGCTGTATTTGGAATTTAATTGGAAATACCTCAACTGTTTTAAAGTGTAATTATAGCACAATATTTCTTGTTAATGCTTGCTGATCCTAACAAATCCATCAGATGTCAAGTCATCAACTCTTTTCATCATCTTCGTACATGGTTCTCAATCAAATAGTCACATATGTTTAATATCTACTGTTTGATTATTTCATCTTATGGTCCAATTGGTTTACAAATTTCAATCTTAACTTATGTAATATTAAAACGTGTTTCACTGGGTATTTTTTTTTTTTTTTGTGAAGACGAACTATTACCAGGTATAATCACAGAGCTTTGATGATGTGCTAATTATCGTGGCTCTAACTTTCTATCTTATCAAATACAAAACACTATTCCATTGAAATTTTGAAAAGAATCTCGTCAATAAGCATCAAAAATGGCGCTAGCTATTCGTCTCGTTCTATTCATACCAGGTATCATTATTATTTGGTTTAATGATAAACGAATAATGCGATGGAATGTTCAAATGTAATGGACAAAGATGAAATAATAACAAATGAAATGAAATGCCAAGGAACTTCTCTGACCAGAAACTAGTGTACGTCTATGGTTCAATGAACCGAATTGGCTCCTTTTTTTTCGGGTTCGGACATATCCTAAACCGTTTGCAGTCGTAAACAAGCAGTGGTTAATTCCTGGTAATATTTTATACGCGAATTACTACACATACATATATACATTTAGGAGATTATAATAATAGTGTGAAAAGCAGCACAATAAAACCTGTAACTGCATTCTTTTACTAATAGTTGAAGAATCATTCGATACAGCCCTGGATACTTAATGGATTCTGTATGAATAATTGACGTACAATTTGTAATAGCCATGACAACAAGAAAAAAAAAACGAATGCTAGGAATGTTACTACTACCGTTTCAAAAACAAAAAAAACATTTGAACAATAAAGTATCCTCCCTTCTTCGTTGATTTAGTCAAAATATATTGCACTTTCGGAACAAGGAATCAACCACTAACAATGTGATTCTAATTTCTTTATATTTTAAGTTAATCCAGTTCTCATTGTCATCCTTAAATAAAGATTCCTTTAATCATAGTTCAGAGGGGTCATCTAACGACCAGTGTCTAAAGTAAGGAAATGTTATGTTACGACAAAAAGCGTATAAAATGGTTCTCTATGTTTGAACTCCCAGAACGCTCTCCCTAATGACTTCACTCTTGCTTGTAAGATATTTTTCATATAGTCTACTATAGCTTTATTTGTAACTTTGTCGTAACATCCCTAAGCGGTAATTCATGTTTTAGCCGTTAGATGACCATACCCAACATTCCTTTTTCTCTCTGTTTATAACAAATATATGGCATTACAAAGTAGATTATTTTGAGTTTAAATTCATTGTCGTAACATTCCTAAGCGATAATTAAAGTATTAGCCGCTAGATGACCACACACAACATTCCTTTTTGTCTCTGTTTATAACAAATATATGGCATTATTAAGTAGACTGTTTTGAGTTCAAATTCATTGTCGTAACATCCCTAAGCGGTAATTCACGTTTTATCCGCTAGATGACCATACCCAACATTCCTTTTTGTCTCTGTTTATAACAAATACATGGCATTATAAAGTAGATTGTTTTGAGTTCAAATTCATTGTCGTAACATCCTTAAGCGGTAATTCATGTTTTAGCCGTTAGACGACCATACTCAACATTCTTTTATTTTCTCTGTTTATAACAAATATATGGCATTATAAACTAGATTGTTTTGAGTTTAAATTCATTTACGTTTACATCATATCATAATATTTCTTTCTAAGGTGAAATGGTTACAAATTATACAACGAGGTTTGCCCCAGTTTCAATGCGACGGATACACAGATATATCGAGCGTTAAGAGAAAGTAAACAGAAAATAAATATAAATTAATACATATATAATTCGAT